TTCCCACCCCCTCTATATATACATATAATATATATATATATATATATATATATACACACACTGCACAGACTATTACACAATTGCTCATGTACACTTTTAAACATTGTCTTGTGTATGTTGCACAGCTGTGCCTTCAACATTATCCACCATCCCTGCCTTGTGCCAATAAAGCTTCTGTTCCATTCTAAAATGATTCGATCAAGCACTTGTTTATGTTCAAAGCTTTTCCTAGCAGAGATTTCATGCAACGCGAGTCGGTAGTCCTTCGAGTTTTCAAGGATGCATCAGGACACATTAGCGTTTACACAACAAATGCAATATGTGTCCCTGACCACCTCCAAAGGAGCTTTGAGAGATCAAATCACAAAGAGATCCATTGAACCTTGTTTACAATTCTCAACTCAGCTGACCCTGAATTACTGAAATGAAAACTTAACAGAATGAGCTGAAGAAAGACTACATGCCGTAGGGATGCATTAAAATTTTAGTTAAAACAAAGGTGATAATTATTTTCATGTTCAGATAACTGATAAATGGCCTTTACTAAAATTCTGTGTTAACATTTTACAATACGCCTCCATTAGTTAACATTGGTTAATGTATTAACCCTCAATGATCAACATGTTACATTACAGTATTTCAAAAATCTTTTTAATGTTAAAGATGTTCATTGCCATTGGTCCATTAAATAATATTAAAAGATACAATTTTTGATTTTAATAATAAACTATTAAATTAAGTATTAAGTATTTTTCAGTGTTAGTTCATATTAACTGATTACTAATGTTAACAAATAGAATTCTATACTATTTTATCTAATAAAAAACACTAAAGTCAGTTTTTAAACATTACAAGTGGATTTAGGCATCACAAATTTATAATGTACAGTATGATTAAATATGTGTTTTTAGATTACATTTAACCATGTTATTCAATGATTAGTTTTTAAAGATTAACTTAAATGATCTTTAGATGATGTAAAAATAGAGAAAATTAGCAGCACAATTATAAATCCAATATTAGCTGATATCAAATTTGTAAAATCAGCTAGAAATAATCATAATAAAAAAGATCAGTACACTATGCAACGATGACGAGAAGATGACAGTCATTTTTATGCATAAATCAGTGGTATGTCACTGAAACAGCTGCTCCGGGTAATCTGACACCCACAGGGCAACATTATAAGCTCATGTACACAACATGAGTTACTATTTCCTCCTTCCTGCTTTGCTTACTGGCATCCAGCACCGTTGATCTGCTCAGGATTTTACCTGCGCTGGCAGGTCTCTGTGGCAGGCCTGGAGACACCGTGTTCCTCTGCAGCTGCGGTTGCTGTGGTGACAGCAGGCGCGGGTCTGTGAGAGTGGAGGTGACGAAGGAAGTGGTGACGAGGCTGCTGGGATTGCTGAATGGCAGAGGGCTCTGACTGGACACCGGCACTGTGACTGGCATGGAGAAAGTGGGCAGTGGCACTGTGGACTGAGAAGCACAGATAGAGAGGGAAACGGTTAGCGGCTTAAACTCGCTTGCCTGCATACACATCCAGACATGGTCACACACCAGTTTTTAACAGCATGCAGTGACTTGTGCAAACATCTCCAAAGCAGAGCACGTGAAGCTACGAGGTGCAGAGTTAATTTTGTAAGACTTCTGTAAAACTGTTGATGTTTTAGTGCAAATTATCCAGGCTGGAAATGAAAGGAACAGGAAGTCTTCACTTCATTTGCATCTAGATTTCACTGAATCATCCGGTGTTTACAGTTTTATTTTAACACTTGTTTTGGAGCCCAGGATTATACTCAATTTTAGTCTGCAACAGTTGTCCTTAAACTGGTAATACGGCTCTAGGGAATAACCCACAGCACACAGTAGGCTCAGGTGTTTCAAACAAGGGGCATGTGGGCGTGACAACTGAGTCAGCTGATCCTCGTTCTCGCGCTTTGCGAAGCGCAATTAGCCAGCTTCGGCAATCAGTGTGGACTCAAACTGTCCAGATGCTCTGATGGAGACCCATTTTCCCATGATCCTTCAGCAAAACCAGGGCCTCTAAATTTAGAAAGTGGGCCGCACTAGGCCTCCTGTGTTCTGAGTGGGGCCCAGTTTGATAGAGTTAGTCTGGCTCTTCCTCTGTCCTTCTCCCGTTCTCCTCTAGCCTCTCTGTCTGAGCTTCAGCAGAAAAATAAAGTCAATAAAGTCAAATAATGTCAATAAAGAACCTTTAATTTTAAGAATGTAAGAGTGACAGTGGGGTTTTGACCTTTGATTGACCTTTGATCAGAATTTGGGCTTATGTCCTCTATAACCACTGTTTTTTTTCGAATAAATTACTTCTAATGAGAATATACCGAAGCCAAAACGGTTTTAAAAGGATATTACAGGTTAATCATATCCAAGTCACGGTTCTGGAGGGAGTAACCCTTGTAGCATATGTGCCTGTAGACGAAACAGCAACTAAGTTCCAGCACTGCACGCAGGCCAGGCAGGGTGAAGGGAGGGGAGGGCGGAGGAGAGGGAAGGGTCATTAGTGAGAGACGAGCAGCTGGTTTAAAATATGGAGCACCACACACACCTCAGCTTAATACATACACCAAGACGGAAAAAATCTAGTTTGCTAGTCTCCAATTTCTCAGCCAGAAAGTGCAATCTTACACTTCTGAAGTGCCTTCAACAACTGAAGATAAATACAACAGACTCAAGATTATATCAGTCTAGACACAGACAAGCGATAGACAACTGTGATAAGAACGACACTTGGTACTGAAAGGGAGACTGTGATGTTGAGGAAGAGCGTGACCAGTGAAGTGAGAAAGACTGACTGGTTTGGGAAACAAGTTGGCAAATCATAATCACATGAAGTTCCTTTGGATTGGAGCTCACGGTGCATATGAGGAATGATCTTTCAGGTCAATTTACTCAATAGATTTAAATGTAATTCAACACAATGCGATCACAAATTTTATATAATATAATATTATAAAATTTTATTAACCAAGCGGAGTGCTGAGCAGATTCTGAACAGCCTGTTTTCACTTGCTACTTGCAACATTGTGAACGAAAATATGAAAGGCAAATGTATTTGAGATCTGCTAGAAAGTGTTATTCAATTTTAAAGATTACATTTAAGCGAGTGTTAGATATTGCAAATGTAATCTGAATATAAATTAAGACAGAAATGGGTCAATTAAATATCTAATATCAACTGATATACACTGCCATTTTAAAGTTGTTTTTTTTTAATGTTTTTGAAAGAATGCTCACCGGGGCTAGATTTATTTGATCAAAAATACAGAAAAACAGTATTATTGTGAAATAGTATTATTTGAAATAACTGCTTTCTATTTTAATATATTTTAAAATCTAATTTATTCCTGTGATGACAAAGCTGAATTTTCAGCAAACAGTGTGGCATTATATTTTCATGGATCCTGACTCATTTTTTAATGCATCCTTGCTAAATAAAAGTATTAATTTCTTTTTAAATGATCCTGCTGACCTCAAACTTTCGAATGGTAGTGTATATCCAATATCAACTGATCTAAAAAAAAGTTATAAAAATAATAATCACTGATTTAGCACTAATGTATACTGCATTCCTGTTTGGTGCACAATACAGAAATATTACTTGTATTTTTTTTCTTTTTTACTTCAGGTTAAAATTAAAAACAATTTCCGAATTTCCTCACAATCCAGCTTTATCCACTGAAATTGCCACCAACAGCCAAGTCAGACAGTTAGTGGTGAATATCTAAAAACTCATTACAAACTGATCATTTTCCGGCCTGTTAAGTAGAGCTCGTAGTACACATGCTGCTGGGTGTCCCCAGTGAGAGGGATTAAGGTTTTAGCTTTGCTTCCTCGGGCACTCATGCTGGGATTATGTGGCAGAGAAAGAGAGAGGTGCTGGATGACTCTCTTTGTGCTCCGGCCCGTGAACGCTGCACTGAGCGGAGAACGGGGGGGTGGGGCGGGGGGGCTGGACTGGCCCTTCATCAGGTGATGAAATGCTTTTTGGATGCAGCTACCGAGCAATGTCTAATTTCCAGTCCCATTAGCATTACAGAGGAAAGAGAACGCAATTTACTACACTAATCAGTCTTTGCTGCCCACATCCTGTTGAATCACGTTCACCATGTAAATCATATCAAACTCGGGCCCACGATACGTTGAGATAGCGAGCAGCACTTTCTTGTTTCTGTACCTCCTGAGAGGAGATTCCTCATGCAGGGCCCATGCATAAAGCATTCTTGACAGTGCCTTAATGAAAATTATCTTCACCGACGCCTGAATCGGGACCCAGATGAGTCAGAAGTCTATTCCTGGCAAATGCGATACAAGCATCAGTCATCGCAGAACACAAGAAACAACAGCACGCAGAATCAAGACTGCTATAAATCACAGGCACGTTTGAAAAAGTGGATTGTGAGGATCAAAAGGATGCGGCCCACACTCGCCCTCTCGCCCCCGACTGCCCTCTCCTTGCCCAAGCACACACATTCAGAGGGGATTGAGGGGTGGTGGGAAGGGAATGAGGTGAGAGATGGCTGCTAGGTGCTCTGTGAGTCGATTGCCGGGCCGGCAGCAGGCTGTGTGAGTTGGTTGGCGGGCCAAAAGCAGGCCTCTTCACACGGGTACTCACTGAAAGCCTATAGCTCTGCATCATTTTATCAAACTCCTCGTCTATCTTTTTGTACTTCTCCTCTGTGCGAGGTGTGAGGGAGAACGGCTCCTCGGGGTCTGGGCTCTCCGAATCCCGGTGCTCTTTCTTGTTCAGAGCCTTGGTTTATTTCCGACCGAGGACAGGAGAGAGACAGAGGGGAAGAAAGAGAAGGATGGAGGTTAGAATGACAGGGTAAAGAGGAATACTCACTCCGTAGCGTTTGAAGAGGATGTCCAGCTCCTCGCTCTTGCGGTATTTGTCCTCCTGTAAGGGACTTTGGTCGATCGAATCGTCCCCGTCTGGCTCTGGACTGTTGCAACCATTAAAGCCTTTCTTTCTCAATGTCTTAAAGCATTTGGAATGGGAGAAGAAAAGGAGAGGAGCATATTTCACATTTAGAAACACAAATGTCAATCAGAGAGAAGCAGCACTGATTTATTAAACCTACAGAGTAACGTGTGACACATAAACCAAGACCACTGTACATCAGCAAAATGTTTCATGAGGGAGTGAAGCGGCTAAATTCGATTTTACACCATGACTTGGAAAACAATGAAACTCTGCACAGCCCATAGACAACCGTGGGCTGGAAATAAGTTAGACGAGGCTGAAAAAGAGAGAAACTCAGTTTATCGGTTTCAGCCTGAAAACAGCTTGAGTCTTTTTTGAGAAGATTTTCCAAACAAGATTTTCTCTAAGTAGCTTTGATGGGGGTATCGAGGCTGAATGGAAAACAGTTTTCAACTCTGCCTGCTTCCTTCTCACAGAGGTCATAGTAACATAAAAAGTGTGCAAAGAAAATACAGCATAAAACAATGTAATCCAGATCAGCGATGCTAATTGCACAATTAACACTTTAAATGCATTATTTTCATATTTTCATTCTAAAGTTTGGGGTCAGTAAGATTTAATGTTATTGAAAGAAGTCTCTTATGATAAAATACAATAAAAGAGTAATACTGTCAAAAATTATTACAATTTAAATTAATTGCTTTCTATTTTAATATTACTCCAGTCTTCACCGTCACATGATTCTTCAGAAATCATTGTAAAATGCTGATTTGGTTCTCAAGTTTTTCCCCCCATACTTTAAAAATATTTTTTTTTTTTTTACACTGTATCTTTGTGTCTCTTTTCTAATCCAGTAATGCTCTCATTCTTCCACGACTTAGCGAGCTGACTAATTTCTGTCCTCTATTCCCCTCTATCCCATATCGTCTTTTCAAACTCCCACTTCCTATGTGGGATGGAAGCAAACATTTGAGAGGAACCAAATAAAAGTTTAAGAATCTGCAATTGAAAAAGACATACTGATCTAAAAACGAGGGGTCTATGGTGGTTTATGGTCTTAAAACGAACAAATAACTCTCTCTCGAGTGTGTGCTGATGTCCAACGAGGGCAGACTGTAATGTCACCTTCCATTTGCAGCGTGTAAAGCGGAGAAGGCTGCAACCCCCCCCGGCCATCCCTTGAGAATGCACTTAAAGCCTCGGCTTCGCCGCAGCCTGCCGGCTTACACAGACGATAGTGTCCAGATACACCCATCTGACAGATTAGCGGCCCCTCTGAACCCTCCACTCCTCCTCCTCTTCATCCCTCCATCTCAATTCCTCCTTTAAAGGCAGCGTGTCTGCCATTATCAGGCAAGTCTGACTATAACTCATACATGAGGCTAATGGAGTCATTTTAGCAGCTGATCTAGGCTGATAGCCCACGGCTGAGCCCACTGTGGAGGCGGATCTGAGAGAATAAGCTGAAGTACATCATCTCGATATCGAAGAGGGCTTAGCCGATGTCCAGCACACACAGATTTCTCATCTCTTACAGACAGAGGTTACAAGTTCACAGTCATTTCATCTCGACAATCTAACGCCAGTGGTCACAACTGAAAAGAACTGTTGCTATCAGGCATGTCAAAAGTGCTGGTGGTGTCGACTTTGATGTCAAGTCGATACTCAAATTAAATTCAGTTCCTTCTGTAGAATTGGTACTATAGACCACTCAATTTAGTACTTAAAAGCTGTCTGGTGACAGGTGGTTACCCCTGAATGCTCATAAATGTGCACTTCCTGGTCAAAATGCCAGCTTGGCATGGCATCAATGTAAACACGGCAGGTTTCTGCCACTGTCTGTTATGTCTATTATTTATAATAATTAAACTGTAATGCTGATAATAAAAAGAGAAAACTACTTAATGTGGTTACTTTGTTTATTTGTTCTTCATTACTGTCTGTTTGAATAATTACTTAATTTTTTTATAAATTTTTAAATTTTATTAATTAAAACTTTTTAATTTAATTTACTTAACTGACAAATATAGAAATGCTACGTCATTTTTTTATTTAATTTGGTAATATTTATTGTAATAATATTATTAACTTTTTAAAATAAAGAACACTAAAAATTGTGGAATTCCACTGGTATTGGTATTATTGTGACAAAACTAGCCAATATTAATAACACTTTAATTTTCAGCTCAATATAAACATTCAATCAACATTCATCAGAGATCTGCACACAGATCAGTCCCTATTAAACTCAATAAATTATGCCACCTGACCTGTTTGAATCTTAAAGGGGTCATATGATGCGATTTCAAGTTTTCCTTTCCAAGACTGCTATAAATCACAGGCACGTTTGAAAAAGTGGATTGTGAGGATCAAAAGGATGCGGCCCACACTCGCCCTCTCGCCCCCGACTGCCCTCTCCTTGCCCAAGCACACACATTCAGAGGGGATTGAGGGGTGGTGGGAAGGGAATGAGGTGAGAGATGGCTGCTAGGTGCTCTGTGAGTCGATTGCCGGGCCGGCAGCAGGCTGTGTGAGTTGGTTGGCGGGCCAAAAGCAGGCCTCTTCACACGGGTACTCACTGAAAGCCTATAGCTCTGCATCATTTTATCAAACTCCTCGTCTATCTTTTTGTACTTCTCCTCTGTGCGAGGCGTGAGGGAGAACGGCTCCTCGGGGTCTGGGCTCTCCGAATCCCGGTGCTCTTTCTTGTTCAGAGCCTTGGTTTATTTCCGACCGAGGACAGGAGAGAGACAGAGGGGAAGAAAGAGAAGGATGGAGGTTAGAATGACAGGGTAAAGAGGAATACTCACTCCGTAGCGTTTGAAGAGGATGTCCAGCTCCTCGCTCTTGCGGTATTTGTCCTCCTGTAAGGGACTTTGGTCGATCGAATCGTCCCCGTCTGGCTCTGGACTGTTGCAACCATTAAAGCCTTTCTTTCTCAATGTCTTAAAGCATTTGGAATGGGAGAAGAAAAGGAGAGGAGCATATTTCACATTTAGAAACACAAATGTCAATCAGAGAGAAGCAGCACTGATTTATTAAACCTACAGAGTAACGTGTGACACATAAACCAAGACCACTGTACATCAGCAAAATGTTTCATGAGGGAGTGAAGCGGCTAAATTCGATTTTACACCATGACTTGGAAAACAATGAAACTCTGCACAGCCCATAGACAACCGTGGGCTGGAAATAAGTTAGACGAGGCTGAAAAAGAGAGAAACTCAGTTTATCGGTTTCAGCCTGAAAACAGCTTGAGTCTTTTTTGAGAAGATTTTCCAAACAAGATTTTCTCTAAGTAGCTTTGATGGGGGTATTGAGGCTGAATGGAAAACAGTTTTCAACTCTGCCTGCTTCCTTCTCACAGAGGTCATAGTAACATAAAAAGTGTGCAAAGAAAATACAGCATAAAACAATGTAATCCAGATCAGCGATGCTAATTGCACAATTAACACTTTAAATGCATTATTTTCATATTTTCATTCTAAAGTTTGGGGTCAGTAAGATTTAATGTTATTGAAAGAAGTCTCTTATGATAAAATACAATAAAAGAGTAATACTGTCAAAAATTATTACAATTTAAATTAATTGCTTTCTATTTTAATATTACTCCAGTCTTCACCGTCACATGATTCTTCAGAAATCATTGTAAAATGCTGATTTGGTTCTCAAGTTTTTCCCCCCATACTTTAAAAATAACACCATTTACTTGAAACAGAAATCTTTTGTAACATCATAAACTGCCACTTTTAATCGATTAAATTAAATAAAATATTTAGAAATAGGGGCTGTTGAAATCCCTAACCCCAAGTATGAGCATTAGCAATTTAGCGATTTAGAGGATGATTTGATGAATGATGGAAAAAAAATACAAAGCAAGCATTTGATTTAGCTCAATCGTTAACATTAACACTCTCTCTCTCACACACACACACACACACACACACAGTGAGGTCAGCTGATCAGCTTGTCTCCGAGTCGGCTCCATCTGTTCACCTGTCCCTGTATTTCTCTGCCTGCTGTCTCTCCTTTATGGGGCGGGTGCGTGTTTGGTTGCCAAGGGAAGATTCCCCTGCAGAGCTCCGCTGCCTCTGACTGGTTAACCTCGTTCAGTAGCGCCCCTCCCCCTGCAACCGCCTTCCTTCCCTCCCTCCGTACGGTCTCTCTCTCTAGCTTCCCCTCCCTGTCTTCACATTATTTCATCTGTTACCCCTCGACCTTCACTTTCTTTCTTCTAATGTTTCTGAATGGTTTTTTACACTATATCTTTGAGTCTCTTTTCTAATCCAGTAATGCTCTCATTCTTCCACGACTTACTGAGCTGACTCATTTCTGTCCTCTATTCCCCTCCTCTCTCCATCCCATATCCTCTTTTCAAACTCCCACTTTCTATGTGGGATGTTAGCAAAGATTTGAGAGGGGCCAAAGTTAAAGTTTAAGAATCTGCAATTGAAAAAGACATTGATCTGAAAATGAGGGGTCTATGGTGGTTTATGGTCTTAAAACACACACATAACTCCATTTCTCAAGTGGGTGCTGATGTCTAACGCAGGGAGAATGTAATGTCACCTTCCATTTGCAGTGTGTAAAGCAGAGAAGGCTGCAACCCCCCGGCCATCCCTTGAGAACATGCTTAAAGCCTCGGCTTCGCCACAGCCTGCCGGCTTACACAGACAACAGCGTCCAGAAACACCCATCTGACAGATTAGCGGCCCCTCCGAACCCTCCACACCTCCTCCTCTTCATCCTTCCATCTCAATTCCTCCTTTAAAGGCAGCGTGTCTGCCATTATCAGGCGAGTCTGACTATAACTCATACATGAGGCTAATGGAGTCATTTTAGCAGCTGATCTGGGCTGATAGCCCACGGCTCAGCCCACTGTGGAGGCGGATCTGAGAGAATAAGCTGAAGTACATCATCTCGATATCGAAGAGGGCTTAGCCAATGTCCAGCACACACAGATTTCTCATCTCTTACAGACAGAGGTTAAGAGTTCACAGTCATTTCATCACGACAATCTAATGCTAGTGGTCACACTTGAAAGGAACTGCTGCTCTCAGGCATGTCAAAAGTGCTGGTGGTGCCAACTTTGGTGTTAAGCAGATACTCAAATTAAATTAAATTCCTTCTGTAGCATTGTTACTATAGACTATTCAATTTTGTACCTAAAAGCTGTCTGATGACAGGTGGTTACACTCATAAATATGCACTTCCTGGTCAAAATGCCAGCTTGACATGGCATCAATGTAAACACAGCAGGTTTTTGCCACTGTCTATTATGTCATTTATAATAATTAAACAGTAATGCTGATAATAAAAAGAAAAAAAGCCCACTTACTGTGCTTACTTTATTTATTTGTTCTTTATTACTGTTTGTTTGAATAAAACTTCATTTTAAAATTTTAATTAATTAAAACTTTTTAATTTAACTTAATTGACAAATGTCAAATATTAATTTGTTAATATTTATAATAATAATAATAGCAACTTTTTAAAAATAAAGCACTGTTCAATAGCATATACATTTTTGCTATGATCTCAAACTTAACCTTGAGAATTGTGAAATTTCACTGGTATTGGCATTGTTGTGACAAAACTAGCCAATGTTTTCAACACTTAACTTTCCAGCTCAATATGGAAATCAACATTCATCAGAGATGCCATGTATATCAGGCCTTATATAACCCAATAAGTTATGCTGCCTGACCTGTTTGAATCTTAATTTGAATCTTTTCATAGAAAATAAGACAAATAGCTGAATGGACTAGTTTAATAGTGCTTTATTTGAGGTCAATCACTATTGACTGTCAGTATTTTGAAAAGCAATGAGATGACATGAACACAAAAATAAAAAAAAAATTTGTGTTGCAAAAAATGTCATATAGGTTTAAAACAAATGACGACGGATTTTCCATTTTTGAGTAAACCGTCCCTTTAAGTGTCCCCAGTTTGATGTATTTCCAAGAAAAACAGAATATTCAGGAAGGCGGCACTTGATTTTATCTAGTGGGATTTGATTGGATTGTGAAAAATGGATTATGAAAATATTAATACTATTATTTTTTTCGCCCACATGACCTTGGTTATGTCAGCAAAATAAACATTGTTTCAGAAGCAGAGAAAGTTGTTACATTTTGATGAAAGATTATCATATTTGTCATTAGAAAGCTGAGGATAGATGAATCACGCCAACCATTTATTAAGAAAATTAAAAAATATATATTTGATGTTTTTAAGTCCCCACGGCCTCTTCATCTGAGCTGCTTATGAAAAAGGCTGTGTTTCTCTTCTCACCACCTCCTTTCAATCCCAACTGATATCTACAGGCTCTTCATCCTTAAACACCCACTCTTCATCTCTCTGTCTCTTTCTCCCTCTCTCTGTCTCTCTCCTGATTGGGATCTGCAGTCAAGCAGATTAACAAGCTCTGGCAGAAAAGGCAGGCAGCCCCCATACAATCACACACACACGCACACACACATACACACACTAGGCACGTGCAACACGAGGCGAGCGAGGAGATGAGAGCAAAGAGAGAGATGTAGCAAGAGAGAAGAAGAGAGGCTATGTGAGTACATAATATGCATCTGTTCAGTCATGAGCTTTGTAAAAATCGACGCGTTTCAGAAAGGCGGGGCATAGAGGAGAAACAATAATGTACAGTATGTGGAAAATAATGTGTTTTTTTAACCTTAAACCGCATAAACACATTTCATTACACCAAATACACAAAATAATGTTCTTTTTAGCAACATCATATGACCCCTTTAATTTGAAGCTTTTCTTAGGAAATATAGATATATGCTATTACTAAATTGATTAGTATTGTATAATATGTAATTTAATACAGTTTTTATCGATTGTCAGCCCTGTTTTCTATATAAGTGCTCTCCTAAACAGCAGTAGAAATATAATAAATGAATTGTTTAACAACAACATTAAACTAATTTTGCACCAGTATGAAGGAAAAAGTTAACTAAAAATGAAAACTGTCATTATTTACTCTCATGTCATTTCAGATCTGTATGCTTGTATATTTTCAGGGACACACAGCTCTTTTCAAAAGACAGTCTGGACCTTGTCTGTCAAGCTACAATAAGGGCAAAATATGTGATGTGACAATGATGAAACAAAGAAAAAATGTGCAATGATGTGACAATGAAATAAATTCTGTATTCACTAAAAACCGTTGCCTTCTTCTAAATGTTATCCTCTATTCTGTATTCATAAAACTTACAAGTAGTTGTATGGACTACTTTAATAGTGCTTTATTTGAGGTTGATGCACATGATCACTATTGACTGTCAGTGTTTTGAAAAGCAATGACATGAAGAATCTTCAAAATCTATTTTTGTGTTGCAAAAAATGTCATATAGGTTCAAAACAACAAAAGGGAGAGTAAATGATGACAGATTTTTAATTTCTGCGTAAACTGTCCCTTTAAGTGTATACAAAGACCAAACAGAATATTCAGTAAATCAGCACTTGATCTCATCTAGCGGGATTTGATTGGATTGTGAAAAATGGATTATGAAAATATTAATACTATTATTTTCTCCACCCACATGACCTTGGTTATATCAGCAAAATAAACATTGTTTCAGAAGCAGAGAAAGTTATTACATTTTGATGAAAGATTATCATATTTTTCATTAGAAAGCTGAGAATAGATGAATCACACCAACCATTTATAAAGGAAATTTAAAAATATATATATTTCATGTTGTTTTTATGTCCCCACGGCCTCTTCATCTGAGCTGCTTATGAAAAAGGGCAAAGCCTTGCGTTTTTCTTCTTACCACCTCCCTTCAATCCCAACTGATATCTACAGGATCTTCATCCTTAAACACCCACTCTTCATCTCTCTGTCTCTTTCATTCTCCACCTCCCGCTCTCTGTCTCTTTCTCCCTCTCTCTGTCTCTCTCCTGATTGGGATCTGCAGTCAAGCAGATTAACAGGCTGTGGCAGAAGAAGCAGGCAGCCCCCATACAATCACACACACACACACACACACA